TCAGAGACATTGCTAAGCAAGAGTCATATGTTCCTCTGTACCTTCACCTAGAACAGGGCTTCTTCACAATCCCTGTTTACCTGAGGATATTTTACACAACTCTGGGTTTACAAAATAGGCATACAAATCAAACATTTATTGAAAGTAAGTCATAAAAAATAATTCTTAGTATACATTCTAAACTTTATTAAATATGAAATTAAATTTGCATGCTAATGAGATAGATGTGCCTATTTATTTTTACATGCAGATTTAAGTTTTGTCTGAATATTTGATATTGTGTGGACTGTGTACAGCATCTTCAGCATTTTTCAGAATTGGTTGATGTTTTGTTTTTCTAGTCATCAAGGCTGAGAACAGGCTTCACAGGAATATATAGTACAAAATGGCAGCAATACGTTTAAGACCAGTTCAGAAATTACTGTACATTCTATCCTATTCTCAAAATAATTTTCATGAAACTCAAGTCAGCAAGTCAAACAGCAATTTTTGCAATCAAACATTCTAACACAATATAGACCAAAGTTGCACTGTTGACACTTTCATGCCGAAGAATGATGGTGGAAAATATTTAAACATTTGCTTCTCATACTGTTTTGCTTCTCATTATGTTTTCTATGAGAGGAGAAAACTTTGTATTGTACAGTAAAAAACACAGCAATGAATAACATGCAACAGTCTCAGTTATGACTAGGTGTCTAGGCAGAGCTCCTGCTGTGTGGAGGGAGAGAAGTGTGTGTGGTGTGACAGCCCATGCGGCACAGATACAGTCAGAACCAAGGTGTGCTGAAGTCATGTGACCCAACCTGAGTGAGCATCCCCAGGAACACCCCAGACGCATTGCATATTTGATTTTGCATTAAGTTTTATTCAGTTCATATTCAGAAATTTTTTATTGCTGTCAACTTATTGTGATCTCCCCCACGTTCAGCTACGTGACCTCAGATGGAGTCATTGCCACATTTTAAGAAGCTGTGAGAACAGTCTTTTGCTCTAAATGCGTTCTCCTCACAGGCTTTGAAAGAACATTAACTGGATTTACTCTGACCTTTTCTTAGGATAGAGACCACCAAACTTAGAATTTGATTTTATAAGTTCTTATGATAACACATATCTTTCTTCTGTAAAGATACAAATTTACCCCTCTGGAGCCTGTCTGAGGTTTGGCACATGTCTATAATCTTAGCATTCAGAAAGTAGAGGAATGAAGACTGTGAGTTCATGGCCAGTTTGGGTCTACATAGCAAGTTCCTATCTCAGAAGCCAGGGTCTGGGGTATAACTCAGTGGTATGATGTTGTTTAACATGCACAGGGCCTTGGGTTCAAGCTCTAGGACTGCAGAAAAGAAAAGTCTAAACATTATAGAAGACAACTGCCCCTCAGGTAGTAACTATCACCAAACATCTGTCTGAGAAACTATTTTTCTGCTATAGAAAACTTCTTTTTTCACACGCAGTGATGCTTGCCTGTGCTGTCAGTCATGTATCAATTGTGTTAAACTATCTGTGGAACCACGTGCTGATCCTGAGTGTGTTATCTTTAGATTACAATGACAGCATACTTTCACAGTCATCTAGTACTGGTATTTCATTTGTCCTCTGGTGGTGGCAATGAATCTACCACAAACTGACATGTCTATAGGATTTTTATATAGTCAGCTTTGGTACGGAATCTAAGATAAAGAGTCACAAGTCTGGGAAGATGGATTGTAACATCACAGCATGGTCCCCTAGCACTGTATCCTCAAAGAGGCTCTGGGTGTCTTGGTGTGGGGTGGAGTGAACCCAAATAGTCAAATTTATGTGCTTGTGCTTAGTGACTAATAAGAGTATATCTGTACTCAGCAGTGGTGGTTCCTAGAGAGGGAATAGAGAGAGAAATGGAAGGCTGCCTAAGAGGTTCTTGCCTGTAAGTCACCAAGTGTCTTTAGCAGACAATGTCCTGGAGACACTTAAAGGAGGTCTTCAGAGTTCTTGGTTGCAATACCCTAAAATTTGTCAGAAAATGGGGCAGGAGGCAAGAGAAGTCTTTAAGTTGCTCTTGATATACAAAACAGCAAGGCTGGATAGCTGCCTAACCTTTTGCTATTATTAAAATTAACATGGAAAGAAGAGAGGAGGGAAAGTGTCTGGTATAGTTTAAAATGAAGTCCAAATAAGTTCTATCATCAAGTAAGCTTGGATAAACAATGTTTTAAAGAAATTTCAAAGTCCCAAGAGGAAAGGTCCCAGGTGGGAAGCCCAGGCTCTGTCCACAGCTCCTGGAATGCCTGGGAAGGTATCGCCTGTCAATCCACCTCAGCAACCAATCATTCCCATCAGGGTCCAGCCTCTGCTGAAGCTCTCCATGAAGGGAATGACTTGTGAACCATCTATCCCGGAAGCCCCTTGCTAGGAAGACAAGGGAACAATTCCCAGGCAGTAGAATGGTTTTCTGGCACTTTGGTCTAGACTTGAAGCTTTTATAACTCTGCGATATAACTTTCTGCATTAAGCTGAGTTTGTAAATACAGGGTAACTGTGATTGCCTTCATTCTGTACACTGTAAGGATTTGAAGAGTTTTATAACAGGACCATTTCTCAGAAGTTACTACTTTTTTTTTAATCCCTTGTGGGAGAGTTTTTCTTCCTGACACTCCTGCTGAGACCATTGACCATTTGGAGACCATCCTAGTGCCCACACTTCCCAGTGTGCTCTGGACTTCCCTAAGCTCAGTGCATCTCTTGCATTGTGGCCGATGTTTGTGTACATATAGGCTCATGAAAGGCTGGGACTCCTGTTTCCTACCTGCCTCTAACCACTTGTGACAAAAATCACAGCACTCAGATTCTTCGCCTGCAAAACAAAAATAAGAACCAGCTGTGCTTCACACAGGTTACCGAGTTTAAAATATGATCTAAGAAAAAGCATCTTGAAAAAGCAAAGTTCAATTAAACTTGCAAGACGCTCTTCTGTTATTATTAAAAGACTTGTTGAAGGTGAAGGCGCTGCCAAATCCAAGTTGTATGCCTCTGAGATCAGAGGCCCACTGAGACCCCTCTTGCCTGTGCCTTTGTGTTTCACCAACTTGGCTCTGAGGAGAAGAGACCATGGACTGTAAGTTTTTGAGAGGTGAGGTGTTTAATACAGTTACTGAAGACCCAGGGACCAGTGTTGGACTTTTACCACGACCTGGGCAAGAGTCAAGGAGAGGGAGCCGTGAAAGGCACCTCTATGTTTTTGTCTCTTTCTGGAGCCTAAAATAATGTGAATAGAGAGGTCATCAAATTCAATTTATTAGAAACAAGTCTTTAGACATATTGACGTAATGGAAACTTTACGTTAAAATGTGAGTTCAAGGCCAGCCTGGTCTACATAATGAGTTTCAGGACAGCTGGGGCTACAGGGAGACACTGACTCAAAAAGACCAAAAAATAAAAAAATAAAGCTGTTTTAGTGGGCACGAGGTCAAACTACCTTCTTGCTTATTAAATCCATTGACTAACGCTATTCTTAGTCTTCATCAGAGAAGGTTCTTACTGCAGCATAGTGCTCAATACAGAAATGCAGAAATGCTCAAGGTGTCTAGAATAAAGTATGCTGGAATGCCTGGCCCACATGGTCCATCTACATCACCTTCTCTGAGGCTCAGAGCCCATCTAGGAATGGAGTATGGAGAGGTGTGTTGCAAAAAGAAGCCTCTGGGAGTGACAGGCTTGTGTTCATGAAGTCACTGCACAAGGCTGGGCCTCTCAGTGTCTCATCATGAATGGAGGAGGGACTCATGAGGCCGCATCCCTCCCTGAGAGATTATTGACAGTTAATGATGCCTAAGTAATGGGTATCACTTTCTTCAGTGCTGTAACCACTGATGCATTTCCCATACTCCTGTAAATAACCTCCCATTCATGCAAGCAACCTCAGGGTTACATATGACAAAGGACATGAGAGGGTAGGGGACTTGTTGAGAAGAATTAGAATACCAGCAGGAGAAAAGGGTGACAGACGGTAACGGGGTAAGAAGGACTCATTTCATTATGTACGTGATGACCGTGCCAAAGAATAAAAAATAAATTGACAAAATAAAGCAATTTAGTGGAAGAGGAAATTTCAACGATACACTTAGTTTAAGTTTTTAAAGCAAAAATGCCCTAGTTTAAATTGTTCTGCAAGCTGTTGTCAATTTTAATTTAAGAAGGCAGTGGAGGAAGTGAAATATTTAAGACTAGCAAGGTAACTTACTACTAGACTAATAATTTTCCCTCCAATCATTAGATTCCTACGTTTTATTTATTCTTACACATATTCTTTTTGACGTTCAATAACTTCTAAAACATGATTATTTTCATTTTAACACCTAGTTCAGAATGAGGGTCAGAGTTAATGCTGTCTTTCATATATAATCACTAGCTTTTATTTTATCCATCTGAGTGATACTTGCTTACAGCATACTTCATAATTGATAAATCCTAGATTCTAGGAAGTCTGATAGTTTCATCTACTGAAGATGGAATCAATGAGAGCTGCACTTACTTTTTAATAATGTTCTTATCAGATCTGGTGAAATGAGTGTGATATATTGTCTGTCTCAGAAATATTTGTGCTGTTTGCTTTAAGATTTAGTCATTTGCCTTTTTCTAGAATAAATATATGATGAGAGAAAGGAGGCATAATTTTGGCATAAGACAATAGAGAGAAAATAGGTTTAGAATTATGAAGAATTAAACTATTTCATTTCCATAATTATGTCCTTGCAAATATCTCCATAGAATTAAAAAGTTTCTTACTTCAGTCTCAGTGTTTGATGGTAGCAAGGACTGTGGTTTCAGCCCTAACCTGCTGCTGGGGTGAGCGTACACTTTCTGAGTTCCAGTCTTATAATTCAAAGGTGAAGGTTAATGTATTTCTCGGAGCCTCTAGTAAGTCTCCCTTGAGGAGGATCTAGACACACAGACATTTTTCCCCACACACATCTACTCAGTTCTACAAAGCATAGCTGCTCTGGGTTCTTCTGCCTTACCAGTGTGGTTGATGACCTGCTGAAAGTTTTCATTTACAGAGACACTACAAAAGAAACAAAAGCATTGTAAGCCCAACAATGTGTGTAAATAAATTATTACTTAATTGCTTTCTTAATTACACTGATGAGCAGAAAATTTAGAGTTAGATTTTATTGAAAGAAGTTTTAGAAATGAATGCATGGCCAGGGAGCCAAATATTCTATTTTTCACTTGTAAATTGACTTACAGATATTGCAGTAATAGAGTAATCTTTCAAGTACCCAGTTAATATGAAAGGCCCTACCCATCCCACCCTGGAGGCCATGGCTGAGAGCCCATCCCAGGGAGGGTTACACACATTATTTTAATGAAGCCTTGCAAAAGAAATATATATAAGGCACAAAGAACCACTTACAAGAATCCAGAGTCTAGCCACTGCTGGATACTTTCCTGTTTGGAATCTTCAATAAATGAAAAACCAAAAGAAAACAAAACACAACACGGATCTGTTAGTCAAAGCATAACCAGCTACAGTGACATCAATCTATCATCAACCATACTCAATAACTCCATTTCCTACATAGATAATCACGTGTTTCTGTAAGCATATTCATTTTTTCCCCTGTAGGCACAACCTTCTGTTTTCCATAATCAGCCTCTTCAGAGAATGAATGGTGAACTTGCCAAAAGATTGTAACTTAAGAAAAAAGATGTTAAGGAAAAGCAAAATAAATCAACGAAGTTCGAGACATGTTAGAGTGATTGTAAAATTACCTGGTGAGAATGCAATGGACAGAAAAGCATATGAGATTTTGTCTTTCTCCTGTTGGGTCTAAATCACCACAGAGCCTCTCCTTATTGAATCCCCGACATTTACCTAAGGCAGCTAGCCAGCAATGTTTATTTGCAAGGAGTTCTCTGCCAGGTTAGAAACCAGATTTGCATTCATTCCAGGGACAAATTGCACTAGAGACCTAGGATTGCCAAAGGCACCTTGTGTTAAAAAGGCAGCAGCCTTTTAAGGTGGGTCTTTAGTACTGGCTCAAAAGTAGTCAACAGGGAAAAGGAAAGGATATAAAGGCAACAGCACTTCCTGTGAGATTCCTGTTCCCATTCCTGCTGGCTACTATCTACCCTGAGTTGATAGTCTTTGGGTTTTTCCTACTAAATCATAGGTACCTGAATCGTCTCCATATAAGGTATCAGAGGAACCAGAAAAAGAAAGTGTGCCTGGGAGATGCTGGCCATTCTTCATTTGGGGTACAATGAATGGATAGAATGGGGATATTTTCTTATTTATTACCCTTTATTAAAATGATTGTAAATGTCTCACATAAGACCCTTAGGAATCTTTCAACAAAGTGATGTTCTGAAAGAAGTTTCATGGGGTCCTGGGAAGATAGCTTGGTGGGTAAAGTGCATTTGGGTCAGGCTTATAGCCAAATTGGTGAGGAGAGAGAGAGAGAGAGAGAGAGAGAGAGAGAGAGAGAGAGAGAGAGAGAGAGATATCATGGCTCTGGCCTGAATGCAAAACTTGGGTGCACTAGGACTTAGGATGAGATGTTGGAATGGAAAGGAAGGAGTGCTTATTCCTTAGTTGATATATTTCTGTTGAGAGGGTCTGTAGGAAGTCAGATGTGTCCCTTTCATAGACCTTTCTGGCACCATACCAGGGAGACTAGTTCATTTAATGCCATGTCCAAGTCCTTGGAAGTCACTTGCCTTCAGTTGGAAGCCTCTCATCCCTCTTCATCACAGTGGGACATTTTCCCAATACCTGAAGGACCCTTCTTACCCTGCACATGGTTAGTGACTGTCTGGCTTTCCTCCTCAGAGCCAGGAAGCAGCTGCTCATCCAGAGGCACCCATGCCCTCTTGGTACGCCTCAAGATCTCTCTCTTTCTCTTTTCTAGGTCTTCCTGGGAGCTGTCAAATCCTTGTAACTTCTCTGTCATCATAAGAGTAATTTTACAACCTAAATGAAACCACAGAGGCAAACAAATCAGCCACAGTGAGCTCAGCCCCGAGGCTTGGCTCAGTCATAGGAAGAAGACCAGGATGCTTAGAGACATCTGAACCACACACGTCACCATCTCACCTGAGCCTGGCTCACCCATCTGAGCAGAATTCCTGCTCATTTTGGCAAAAGGGCTTCCTTACCATGGATAGCCAGATCCCAGGGATTAACTTGGCCTTGCCAGTCACAAGGCCACACTCTGAAGGATGCAATATTGTGGTCTGAGATGCAGATAGACAATAAAGCGATTGAACTTAGACAGGCAATACATAGCCTTCAAATTTAACCTATAGTTACATCTCCAAAAATAAATTTTAGAGACTCAAAATATTGGCTTGACAGGAGATTAATTTGGTCAAGTCTCATCTATGCAACTTGTTGTGTGACCTTGTATAATTTACACAACTTCTCCACATCTCTTAATATTTTTTAATTGGTGATATATTGTATTGAATTGTATAAATTATTAACCTTACTAGAGTACTTATGTACTGGGCTGTATCTTGAATTTTATACCTCTGTTATAAAAGTCATCAGTCAAAGCAGTAATACAATTGTCATATATTGTAGTAAGTTTGAGAACCTGGACTTGTGATTCTAAAACCATAGAGCAAGCTGTGATTCAAATGCAGGCACAGCACTGAATTCCAAACACAGTCCCATTGATTTACTCTCTATCCATAGTGTGGTGGGAAAATCAGGGTATTAACAAATTATTTATACTTGGTGCAAGGAATATCAGCTGCCCTTATCAGCATATTTGACCTTTATTCTTTTCTTTACAAAACTCAAAGATCAAAGACAGGATCTTAGAACAGCGATATAAATCGTCCAGTCTCCCCAAACTACCTATATGCACTTTGAGAACAAGGGCCATGATCTGACTTATATTAGTCTTTGAACTCTGAGTACATGAAAGCAACATGTAAAAAACTAGAGCTAAGGTTCACAATCGCCTTCTGACTAAACCATCACTAATCATGTGTGGCATGTAAGTCACTGTTTGTAATCAGTGTTTGAAAAGGCAAACCATTCTCAGTGGCTGTAAATATCTGGACATTCTCTTTCAAGTATAAGTGAATATTCCAGGTGTTACTGTCAGTTTCAGGCTCTGAGATGCTTTATACATTTTAAAGTGCATCATTCAGTTATAGTTCACATTTATTGGTACCTTTGGACTATAAAGATTACTGATAATTATGATGACTATTAGTTTTATATATAAAATGCAAAACCTGCTAGGTGTGGTAGGGCAGACCTTTAATCTTAGTGCTTGACAGGCAGAGGCAGGTAGATCTCTCTGAAATTGAGGCCAGCCTGGTCCGTAGAATGAGTTCCAGGCTAGCCAGGGCTATAGGGAGATTCTGTCTCACACACACACACACACACACACACACACACACACACACACAATGTAAAAACTAAGAAATTTCAGATAGTTAAAAATAAAGGCAAAAAGTGGACACTTTAGGATGCTAACTTTAGGATATCCTCTGCAGAAAATTATAAAAATTTGGTGATAAGACAAAAATAATACAGATTAGATTATGTTTTTAATCGCTATACAATTACTTAGTATACTAGAATTCATAAACACTAGACAAAATTGCCTTTAAGAACTACATTACAATTTTAGCTATTTAAATTTGCACAGGTTTGGCTCTTTCAGATGAAAAGAAAGTCTTTGACCCTGCCGTGTAGGAGTGAGAATCAGAGCACCAAGTTAGAGAGGACAAAATTTCACGAAGAAGAAAATTCCAGAACTCTGCTCAAAGATCTCTATGAGATGTCTTGCTCAATAAAGGATCATGCAACATGTCTACACTATGCAGAACTGTCCCTCCAGCTGAGGTCAGCAAGGGGTGACATGATGTGAGGGGCCTTGTTTTTGTGTGTGTGTGTGTGTGTGTGACACAGTTTTCCTCCGTGCAAGCTTTCTGATTCTTTTTTGTACTGAACAAAGAAAACACAAACGTACAAAAATGTTCTCAAGTTTTTCAAAATGCTAAAGACAATCAAAATGAGAAAATACTTGATTGCTTTGAAAGACTTTCATATTTTCTTCAACTTAAGCAACTTCATCCAAACTGCCTCTGCCCTACACCATGGTCATAAAACATGGTGCTTTGATGTATAAAGCAATCACAGTCAAACATGCATACCCTCTAGCGTTATGATTTCCATGTTTGTGTAAACAGGTTACTTTTACAAACAAGTTGGTACTGAGAGAAGAGAGTATTTGTTCTGGGGTTCCCGCATAGGTTCCAGGGAAGCATTTGGGCCAGAGAAAATAATTGAAATAATTGCTTGATCACTTGGGAATGGAGCTTCCTGCTTAGGCAGCACGGTGATTCTTTTTTGAAACTTTCCTTTTGCCTTTATTCAGTGTGTGTGTGTGTGTGTGTGTGTGTGTGTGTGTGTGTGTGTGTGCTCGTGCAACATGGGGCAAGTATGGTCATTGGAATCAGTTTCTTCTTCCACCATCTGAGTTCTGCGGATTGAATTTAGATCATCGGGCTGGGAGCAAGTGTCTTCACTTATCTTCTGCTTCACCCAGTCCCATTACTGATTTTTCTGTGGTTAAAAGAGCAGGTGTTGTCAGGTGGCAGCCATGGTGACCACATACACAAGTTCTATGCAAGCTCAAACCAGACAAAATCCCAGCATATACGTGGGGAGGTGGGTAAGAAATCCCAATCCAATCTAAAGAAGTTCTGGCAATTGATGGCTGCTGGGAAGGGGATGGGGGTGGCAATAAGACAGTGTCTTACAAGGTTGGAACTCTTGGTATGCCCAGTGAATGGATCCACACTGAAGGACACTGGGGGACACAAATCATCTTCTATAGGCCATATACATATATATATATGGCTATATATATATATATATATA